CGGTGGGGTGGTAGGAGCAGTCCTCCGTAGCGAAGGGGTTAAAAATAAAAAATAGACAGTTTCCGCGTTACTTTTAGGGAATAAAGATACAATAGGTAACAAGTGAATAGAAACACTACAAAAGATTATTCTGATTGTAAATATTGAGAAATACCTGTAATGTGTTGAGACAAGACCGTATGTCATTGTCAGCCTTGGTACACAGTGCCATCAGTGCAGTCATGTCCGTCCGTATGGCATTATTTCGGGCAATCTGGAGAAATCATAAATCAGCACTTGATCATTAAAGTGGTTAGACGCATCTCTTTTCATCTTCTAACAAGATACGTAGAATCAAAGCCCAAAAAAAAATTATATACAGTACCTCATTTAGCCTCGCTGCAAGTCTTGCGCTGAGGGTCGGAGGAAAATGGGTGACAAAGGCTTGCTGCCTGAGCAGCCTCAGCGCGGGAACATACCTGTCACAGACATAGAAATCAATCAAGGTGAGACAAGCAAATATGCCTGAATCGGGACATGAATCCAAGCCTTCTGGATTGCAGTCCGGAGGTAAAAAATCAGACTTATCCAGTCTACTTAGAGTGTCACAGGAACAGTAACCATGGTAACATGATTAATCAAATAAGATTTCAGGGCTACAAAACAATAAAGTGGAAGTTCATGATTTACTTGATCAGTAACTTGAGAAACAAACCTGAGACATCTTCATGTGAAGTGCAAAGAAACATTTGTCTCTTTGGAATACATGTGGCTACTGCTTTAAAATGGAAAATGAACAACGGACTCCAACCTAAGCCCACAAGACTTGTAAATCTGGTAATACCCCTATGCACCTATCTAATACTGGATTGGTTACCTCAGTGCATGGTTAGGAACCTGAATAAGCAAGGGGTGTTCAGAAAAATAGGGGGCCACTTTTGTGGTGCTGTAAAGCGAGGAAAACAGCTCTGAAACTTTCATGTGCTCTGACAGCCACCAATTGCAGAACCAGTCAATGAGCAAATTCGGTTTGTGGCGAGCAAAATCTTCTGTGAACTTCTGGGTAAGAGTTCCCATATGCAGACATCATTTACTTTCCCCTGAAATGGTAGATCAGCTTTCAGAAAGTGATAACACATCATAAAATGTCACAATTTAACAGGGAAAATATGGAAGCATTTACTTGGAAAAGACTTAACATTTTCAGACCAGTCTCCTAGGGTTTGGGCACGGGGTGTCAGGTGATTTCTGTGTGTGGAACTCTAATTTCTGTGCTTGGCAGACCCAGGAAATGGGCCCACGGACTTGACCTAAAGACCTCCAGTTCTCCAGGCCCGAATTCTGGTGCTCTTCCAACAACACAGGCTCACAAGGGATAACAGCCTAATGCCAGAGCCCATTCCTTGCCACGTAGCAGGCTTCAATCACGCTTCCCAACACCATCATTAGAGGCTTTGCATGGTAGCCATCTTGCACGGCAATTCTTTTGTTCCACAAGGGAAACCTCCTTTTTTGCATACCCTGTGAAACAAAAGCATCGGCCTGCAAGATGGCAGCCATGCAAACCCCCTGGAAGTGGTTTTTGAACAAGTACTTATATGAGCACTTTATATGCAGATTTGATGCCGGGCATGATGAGTACATGCAACAAATTTATTTTGGAATGTATGGTCTTCGCGTGCACGCCGAATGCGTGCAAGAACCTGGTTGGAAACTTTGTACCAGTCTGTCTTTGTTTCACCGGTGAGGGTGCACTTCAACTCGGGGGGACAGGGCCAGGAATTGACTTGAAATATTACTTACGGATCGTTACATATACATATGATGGGCCGGAGTAAATTCTTTGATTTCTTCTTCTTAGTGTTAGCGGCCGCTACGTCTGTCGGATTGGAGTTGTCTGAAGCACCTTTGATGTAATTCAGAAGACAATTGATGGCCGGCTGAAAAGTGATAGATTACACAAGAAAGGAGGTAAAACTCTCCAATATTAAAAAAGGAGTGCTGTAATTTAAAAGATTTCATGAATAGAGAGAACAATAAGTGACATCCAAATTTCAGTGATACAGGTTTTTTTCCCTCAAATTGACCAGTGTAAGCTGAGTTGGGTTACATAAATCACATTTCTCAATGATACATGAAGTGAGGTGCCTTGAGTGATGTAACTGAACACAAAATGACTCATCCAGGCTCACATCAATGTACAGTAGTGTGTTCCCACCCACACTTAAAGTCGAAACCTTCACAAGCCAAGTTTGGAGACGTAGGAAAACACTCTAATAAATTGACGCCTATTTGTTTTGCTACAAAGCCACGCAAAAATATTGGACTTACTGCGGGAGCTCCGTCAATTTCATCTATGACCAGGCAGTTGGGTCTCCTATCTGTCGTTAACACTGATTGCATCTGGGTGGACGATTCTAGTTTATTCCGGAAGACATCGACACTCCGATCATCACTGCAACAAGAGTACTTTCTTTCAATTACAGCTCTATGCTGTCATTACGGCCACAAACAGCTTAATGAAAGACAACCATCACAGATCTGCCTTCATTTATAGAGCACCCAAGGGAATACATCAGGTGCACATTTATATGTGTGCAGGCATTAGTGTGCAAACCAGTGTGTGAACCAACACACGCTCTCTCCATTCATATGCACTACACTTCCTGGTTCAAAAGACTCTGTACCCGCAGGAAGAGAGAGGCAAGTCAGAGTAAAGTGACTTACCCAAGATCACAATACATACCCAACTACTGTTTCCAACCCCTGACCCTATGATGGGGAGTTACACACCCTAACCACTGGGCTACATGTCCCCCATGAGTGTCTGAGGATGCTTCTATCATTCACCTGGCATTCATTTCCACCACGTTGTATCCAGCATGCCGAGCGATGATGTGTGCCAGAGTGGTCTTGCCAAGGCCAGGTGGGCCACACAGCAGGGCGATCTTGTGGACAGGGCGATTGTTCTCATCAAGCTCCTTCACGGTAAGAAAAGGAACACGTTCGCAAGATCATCTGAGGTGACTTCTTGCAATTTAAGAACCAAAAACTGAGTCAACTGATAAGTCATCCACTAAAACTGGTTGAAGGCTGGAAATCAGAATATAGACTGATCCAGAGACCATAATAAGAAGCCATGAAGCCATGCTTGGTCAAGCAAAATGCTTTCTTCCACCAACAGGGTGTTAATAACTTGTTACAAAATATGAGTGCATCAAGTTTAAAAATATATATGCCATGCGTTAAAGTGTCGTGCTAGCTCAGTAATAGCTTTCCATGAGTATGCTGGTAGAGGAGCTCTGTATTACCATTTTGGCAAAACTGATCCTCAAAGGCACCCATTTACTCCTGGGTGGACAAGCAACATAAGCTCCGTGTTCTCCAAAATCTCACGATCTTTGAATCATCGCACCGCACACAAAGCTCTTGAATTTGCAGCACTATACCGTGGCTAAAGGAACAGACGGACAGGACGACAGACTGAGACTTGCCTCTTGAGGTTCCTCCTGCTGGAACTTGTTCTTGAACTGCTTGAAGTTCTTGGCCTCTGCTTGCTTCTGTTGCTGTTGCTGCTGAGGTTTCTTCCGTTGTTTTTTCTCCTTCCCAAATACCAGGTAATCCCACAGTTTCAGCCAGTAAAGAAGATTGCGGTTTATCCCCTGAAAACAATAAGCAATCCAAAATTATGCAAACTGTTTTGTGTCTTTCTGATATTGAGCGAGACACTCTTGAAAAATGCTTCCATAAACTTAAATAAAGAAAACATCTTTTGAAAATTGACAGCATGATGTCCCTGACTAAAAATCTAACAGAAAAAGTATTATCACATGAAATCTAGGTTTACAAGAAATTTTCAGTCGATTAAGAACAAATATGAATTTTGAATAAATTATCAGAAAAAAGGCTCACTGCTTCCAATATTTACCGACAATGTGTTGGTAATGTGTTCAATACAATAAAAAGGGTTAGACCCGTTTCAGTACAAAGTTACGAAATAGGCCCTTCTGTTACTAGTGAGAGTGGTATGTATCAGCCCAACTGTGACACAAATTGAAAAGCATTTTGTTTATGAAATAAGAGAAAGCCTTCAAAGAAGGAAAGGCCGTCTGAAAGACATCTGTGTCATTAGTGCTCACGTCATCGCTGAGAAGATCCGTGTAGCGTCTGGGAGCGTACTGGTCCACCCACAATGCCGAGGACTTCTCCTTGCTGGCAACCTCCTCCACATCATCACCCTCATCATCCATCTCGTCATCTGCATCATCGCCAGCTGACATCCCAAGCTTCTTGGTCAGCCCTCTGATTGATAACGTAACAAAAAGCAATCGTCACAGGAAGACATCTGTGATGAAATGACGATAACTCAAAAATGTACATGTCCTCAATAATCCCTTTCAGTTGATAACATTCTCGGAAGAATTTTTGGGATAATGGACACCACACTTTTTGAGTATCATCAAAACTAACAAGTTTAAAAAGGGGCGCTGTCAATTTGGGGGAATTTCAACAAGGAAAGGGGGCCAAAAAGTTTAACAAGCGGGGTAAATTTGTTTCGGTTTATGATTCTCAAAAACAAAGTGAACCTACTACATCAGAACCCAGTACCCACTGCCACTGCATTTATCTCACCTATTCATAGATGTTGAAATACTTCTGGCCTCTTTCACCAATCGCACGTGTCTCTGGGGAGCAAAGATAACCGAAAAGTAAATTTCAGTTATCAGAAATTAGGTATTACCCATATTTGATCCTTTACACTACGTTTTCGTGACATCTTTTCGCTTTACCTCATTCTCAAGTTCATCTCTCATCGTCTCCACCGATCTTGCAAGAAGTCGAAGAGGACATCTGGGGTTCTGCTTGAAGATTGACTTATTTTTCTGTTTGGTGCAGAAAGAAACACAGAAAGAGAAAACAAATTTGAAGGGCACTGGAAAATAATCATATAGGTTGTGGCACTATGGAAGTTTAAAGATTACAAAAGGAATAGAGGACATTTTGGACACAAAGGGCCAAGTGACAGTGGGCTTGCTATTTGTAGCGTTAGATGGCACATCCAATAAAGTTTTGGCACTGTATGATCCATGTTTTCTTGTAAATAAATAGCACACTGCAAAAGGTAATCATGATTGAATATGAGTCGGATGGAAGTGGCTGGGAGAGAGATTGCAGGTAGAATGTGTCCCCTTACCATTTTATCCTCTACGCTGACAACCTCCTTCATCCTGAGGTACACCCGCCTCCCATCCTGTCCGGTAAGTTTTGCCGACTGACCAGGAGGCTCCCTGTGAAGGATCCGTAGCCGCTGGTACCCAACCGGCCAGATGAACTCTTGCCCAAGGTTTGCCAAGGGTGCCCTGGATGCATCCGAGGGTTCCTGGGCTGCCTGAGTGGCCACCTGCTGCCGGTGCTGCATAATCTTTGCCAGGGCTTTCTCGTCAGGAGTCGGTGAGGGCAGTGGGGAGGTGGTGACCTTTTCTGTCGTTTTCCCGGCATCTTGGAAAAGCTTTCTCGGCCGCTTTGCTGTTGGAGCTGAAAATGTAAGACATGACCTTTGACCCTGACTTCATGTATTCCACACTGAATACCTCTGCCATCGTTACAATATACAAAATAACTGGACTGCATAATCTGGGCTGATTACAAAAGATTCCTACGAACAAAAATGCAAGGGAGTGTGCATTATTACATTTAATATGCACATTATTTTCAATCAATTAAAAGTCAAACGTGAGTTTAGAGTTAAGCAAAGACAAGCATGCAGCTTCATCAATGCATTCTGAAACAGTTACAGCAATTTAAATATTAGAAAGTGAAATTTATTCAAACAAACAGAAATGTTCAATTACTTAGTTAGAAAATTGCACTCAAAATGCATTTTTCAAGGCATTACCCCCAAAATTCTGCTAGAGTTTAAAAGTTTTAACTTTTTATGTTGTATTATCTCACAAGCACTAAGAGAATGAAACACTAATTCCAACTGAACACCAGATAAACTACCAACCTCCTCATTTAACTAGGGGACGGACCCCTGTCATGAAACGCAAAAGAAACATGCATAGTTTGTTTCTGCTTTTGTGAACAGTGAAACCAACTCAGCCTTACTCGATGTACCTTGAAAGTATATTTAGGCAGAGTGTGAAATTGGCCATTCCACTGTGGTGAATTTTGGAAGATTAAGCCAAGTTTCAGGTCTCAGGAGATACATGCAGGGTTAAGGGGAAAGGGAAGTTTGAAGCCATATACAGTGTAGGCCTTACCGACGGTAGGCAATGGTGCATCTATGACCAGCTCGTCTTCACTGTCAGACAACGGGCCAAACATTTCCTCAATGTCCCGTTTCTTAGCTTTCCTCTCCGAGGCATCAGCTTGCAGCTCTCCCAAGAAACCATTCTGGAGTCCACACGGCACTGACATCAGTTTGCCATTTGTGTTCAGAGCAGTGATGGGGTCAGAGTGGCTCTGGGACTGACTAGTGGAGTTCTTAGAGCCACTGAGGTTTTGAGTGCCGTTGGCTTGCAGGGCATTTGACGACCGACCAGTTTTACTCTGAGTTCTTTGAGAGGCTGTAGCGTGACATAAAAGATTGTTCTTAACATGACAAACCTGTGTACAGATGTAACACAAATATACAAAAACGTGATGCAGAAGGCCGCGATGTTGGTGCATAGTGCAATTTTAACGCTATGGAATGTGATCTCATTAGTTTTATCACACGTCCTAAGTGATAATACTGATTGTCGCATGAGATTACTTAAGTTAAAAACTGAGTCAAAATTTCCCAATCCCTCACAGATTAACCAGAAGTGTGTTTTAAAAACAATAATAATTTTTATCATCTGACATGCTCTTAACCAATAGGAATGGGTCAACTGTTTGAGGTATTTCTGAAAACTTAGGCTTTAAATGCCACCATATTTTGTGTCTGATTTTGTGCATTAAGGGTGGGCTCACAAAATAAGAGGTTTGCGAGTTAAATTTGAATAAATTCTGGTACACTGAGTTATCTGATTGCACATGAACATAATTTGAATTCCTCAGACTAATAACACTGTTACTATATCTCGTGATTCGGGGCAAGCTTTTGCAAAACAACCACCATCTCTGGAATGGACTGGTCCCTTTGTGCCCTTCTTATCCATTGAAACCAGTGTATTGGTGCAAAGCACGTCTTATGTACATGTAACTAAGACAGCTTGCCCCGAATCACGAGGTATACATGTAGCAACAGTGTTTTTAGTATGGAGAATTCAAATTGTTATGGGAAAGAGTTCCATATATGGACAACACTTGATGCCCCTGTGCACATACCTATGAGACCTGTCTGAAAAAAGAAGTGTTTTCTAAGGAAATGCTTTGGAATTTATCTAGCTAAACTTCACTTTTTAGGACATCTTAAAATTCTTTTCACATTATGATGGCTGTTATAACATTTTAAGGGTAAATAAGTGTTGTCCGTATATCAGTGTATATGGAACTCTCTCCTTGTTAGGCCCATTGTTCACGTAAATTTCACATTCAAAATTAATTTCCATAAAGTCTCCAAACCTTCAAATTCCATCTCCATCTCTCTCATCGCCTCCAGTTCATCAGCAAATCGATCCTCAAAATCGTCCTCCATATTGTCAATTAATTAGGCCTAACGTTGCGTAAGAAAAGTATTTGCCGTCTTTCAATTTTTTTCATTCATAAAACTGATGCTAGTAGTGCATTACACTTTACAGACTCTGTCATTGGTCATTCATGTGTCATTGTCAGTTTTTAAAATTTCTCTCAGGACACAATGCAGTGTGATGCTGTGACAGAAGCAACAAAAATGTCAACACAGACTCCAGGCCATGCGCCAAGTGACCAGCTTCATGAACATGATACTTGATAGGCCCCTGCAGTTACTCGGGCTCTTAAGTTAACCTTAGCTCTGATGTTCTGTGACTGTTGAGGCAGTCAACTTGAGGCATGATGCTTGACCACTGTTGACATCGATGCTAAATTACACGACATGCATGACGACTGGACATGCTGGACAGGAGCCGGGCCAACACTGAACTGAAGTTAGGCCTCTCTGTACGATCATGACAATCACGGGAACTCAGTTTCCTTCCAAGTAAGTTCAACAGATCCAGACTAATGAGGAATCTCGACAGTGTTTGGCCTTCCTTGTTGACTGCCTTTTTTAAAAAGTGCCAACTGTGCATGTAATTGTAAAGGTCATGAAGGTAGTATGTAGGCCTAAATTTAATCTGAAATTACTTCAGGGCCTACCACTTCGTTGCCACAAAATTCCCGCGAAAGTGACGAAAAATAAATATGCTGGTACTCTTCAACGCATGTTATACACATGGACTAATAACGTGTACCAGCAGCAAACATGTGACACAGCGCCCTCTGCGCACGTTTTTTTCATTACAAGAACTGCACGTATCACTATCACAGAGCCTAAGCCATTATTTAGAAAACACCGGCATTTTTACGACACTGTATACAGTGTACTGCACATTGATATGTTTTGTCTTTGTGGTCAGTTGAGATCGACTGTTTGAGTATTTCACTAGTCTATCATGCATGCAAAGCAGACCTCTCTGAATCCTGGGAATGGACACTGCCTTGCCGGCGTGGCACTGAGTGAGCGCTAGTGTCGTACTTGTAGTGATGATGTGAGTTGACGCCCTAATATAGTTGGGCTGGTCCCAACTAGCGTGCTGTAGTTGGGCCGGCCCGACTACAGCACAGTGGTCCAAAATCGTAGTGTCATGTCACAGATGAATTGCCATATTTTAGATGAACTGTGTTAAGTGCGAGATTTGTAAACCTGGATAAGGCCTGGTTAAGAATTTTTCTGTCAAAATTGGACCAGCCCAAATACAGCACTACAGTTGGGATTGTCCCAACTAAAGTATAGTTGGGACAGAACAATTGAATTGTTCTGTCCCAACTATACTATAGTTGGGACAATCCCAACTGTAGTGCTGCATTTGGGCTGGTCCAATTTTGACAGAAAAATTGTTATGACATTGTTTCTTTTCCCACCTCCATGGTAAAACTATGTTATGATGCATGTTAACCTTAATTCCTAACTAACGTCGTGCCTAGTGATGCTAGAACTTAAGGTCCTATTCCTGTAATGAAATTCTGACAAATCTTAGACCTACCAAGAGCAAGGAAATTGCAGCCCAGTGTCCCCCCCCCCGTTAGCATTAACATTAGGTTGTAGTAACTACAGTACACTTTACAGGTAGGCTAGGCCAGGTAGGCCTAGGTACAAATCACCTTTTTAAAAGCAATTTGTAGGGTCCAGACTTAGTAAATTGTGGGCTTACAAGTTACAAATCAAAATTCTTTAAAAGGGGTACAAGTATTTGACTTTCTTTGACTACGTCAAAACTTGTGTTAAAAAGGCAAAGCATCCCAGTTACTAGATCGCGGGCCAAAGAGATACCTTAGATATCAATTTATCATGCTTAAAAACATGAGTCAGAGCCCCTACAGGTGATAGAGGTTCTTTTTTTCCATTTTTAAGCATGATTGATAAGGAAAGTCTTTGTTTTAGTTGAAGTTTGTTTTTGTTCTGGAGTTGGAATTATTTGAAGTTAAGCATGCTGAACTTTGACCAGAGACTGAGATAGAGGCAACTGTTTTGTTCTGAGTTATTAATTGCTGTTTAAGTTTTTGAAACTTGTTCGTGCCAATTACTTACATGTACACACAGTGTCTCCTCATCTGGGCACCCCCGATGGGGAAATACCTGCAGCGACTTCAAGTTAACCTTCACTGGTTGCATGCCTGGGTTTGCAGAGGTGTCTTGGGGCAAAACAGATCCGCAACCATGGAAGCCGTGGAAATCATGTACAAGAGTCCCAACTTCATCGTTGTAAATAAACATTATGACGTCAAAATCAACAGCAATGACAGTGGCGACAGGGTCACCGTGGCAACACAGCTGGCGTATCGATTTCCTCAGTTGGTGGATGCAAGTGTCGCTCATCAGTTTCGGTATAAATTATTTTTATCAAGATGAACAAAAAAATTAACTGTAGCTGGATTTGAACGTGCGACCTCCAGAATACCATACCGGTGCTCTATCAGCTATCCAGCTGGTGTTCCAGGTTTCTTGGCTTCTGACTTGTTCTGCTGAACAAAGATATTGACAAATGGGATTCTTGGGAAGAGCTACCAACTTGGGGCTGGTCACAGGTTCAAATCCCACTCCAGTCAACTTCTTAGTTCATCTCTATGATAAATATAAGCAGCTAGTCAGTTTCCCTATATACAATAGTTTTTGACAAATTGTTTTTTTCTTAATACCATTCAGAAACAATGACTTTGTGATACTGCTTTCCATCTTTGTATTTTTATGTAACAGGTTTTTTGCCCTTATCCAACATATATATTAATAAACACTGTATGCTCGGTGATTGTCCGAGAGCTTGCAAAAAAAGTCACAAGCTTACTCGGGTGGGACTCGAACCCAAGACCTCCTGCTTACTAGTGCAGATGTCTTAACCACTCGACCACCGAGCTTGCCAGGGTCGGCTGGCCGGTCCGAGTCAGGTGAAGCAGCGCGTACCGCGAACTATTTTCAAGATGTATTTTTTGCATTGGGGAGATGTTAATTTATATAACAAGTTTTTGCCCTCATTAATATATACGTTGGGTAAGGGCAAAAAACCTGTTATATAAATAAACATCTCCCCAACGCAAAAATACATCTTTTCATCACTGAAGGAAAAATACTGGTAGAGTAAGAACTCGTGTTAATTTCATGTTTTTACTAAACCTCTTGATGTCTGATTGAAATCCGGCCTTCAGTTAGTTTGTTTATTTTGACCATATGAGACTCATTTGCATGGATGTGATTTTAACTCCTCTTTTTTTTCAAGGTTTGTTCACCGTTTAGATTACTCTACCAGTGGAGCTCTTTGTGTAGCTCTGAACAAGAAAGCATCAGCCGATGCTGTAAAGGCATTCAAGAAGCACAAAGTCAAGAAGTCTTATCATGCCCTGGTGAGTATGAATTTTAGCTGCCTGCAAAATGTACTTGATAAGAGGAGTTTTGGAAATGCTGCTTTCAGAGACTGTTTTGAATAACACAATATTTTCTCAGTATACGGACTTCGTATTTTCTGTTCTACTACAAGTTGAGAGGTCATGTAAGAGAGAACTACCTCCGTATTGACAAGCCTGTTTATCCCAACTCGCTGGAGGGCTACACTCACATGATGTGCGTGGTGGATGATGTTAGTGCCCCTCAGTCAGATGCTGTCAAAATACTCCCAGCGGTCACCGACTTATACGTCATACAGCGTGGTCTATATGACGGACAGCCAGCCAGCAAGGTGCTACTCAAGCCACTGACAGGTACATGAAGATTAAGGGTAGGCGGGGTATACGCGTACAGTGGGTCCTAATGCAAGGATGGTCTCATTTCGTGGAATCTTGAATTCGTTGAGATCTCGGAAATTTGTTTTTTACGTTTTCCCATCCAAGTGTATAACTGCACCGATTTTCTGCATCAATGTTTTCTGTTCAAGTCAATGAAATCAGGTCGGGTAGTGCAGGTTATTCTGAGACTTGGATATGCAGCCAGTTATCAAATCATTATCAATTATTTTTGAAATGCTATATTCAGAAGTGAAAATCAAAAAAATGAAATGGGAAAAAATCAAAATTTTTGGCATATGATTGCATTCTTGAAGCATTTTAAAGTTATAATGAGAAAAACAATAAGGCAGCTTAATAAATACGTCCAAAAGCAAGGCCAGAATTTTTCCTTTAAGTCTTTTTTTGCAAACCTTTTGTAAAACGTGTATTTTGATTCTGCTTCATAACTGAAAAATCAATCAAGCAGAAAGTGGATCATTCATATATTCAATTATTCAAATTGTCTTAGCCTTGAAATTAGGACCAATGTCTGACCAGTCAAATTTCCTAGACACAGGAAACTAAATGTGTTGCTATTCTGTGCTGCACTGTTCTAAATTGTGCAAAGTTATGCATTGTTGTTCCTGTGACTTTTGTTTTTTTTTGGGGGGGGAGGCATTAGCAGGTCCATGTGACTGCAATGTATGAAAAGTAAAGTCACAATACTTAACTTGAGTCTATTCACTTTGGCAGGAAGGAGGCACCAACTGAGGGTCCACTGCTGGAGTCTTGGGCACCCAGTCGTTGGCGATTACACGTACAGTATGCGGCGGGACGTCAAGCCGTATCGCATGATGTTGCACGCGCATCGACTCACCATTCCAACTTCAGCAGAGACCGTGGATGCTGTTGTTCAGGACCCTTTTGTGCCCGAGGTGGATTCCAAATGGCACCCCTTTGACAAAGATGAAATTCCTCCAGATATGGATGACAGTAGCTCTAGTTTTGAGACTGTCTGCCCAAGCAGCAAAACACAATGCCAGTTGATGGACGGGAAACGAACTAGGTGACCACCAGCTTGAAACCAATGCGTAAGCGGCCATTTGCTGGAAGGAGAAGGAGACTGTGGCTTTTTATGTCCCCAGCCTTCCCTATGTGGAAGGGTTTAGCTCAGTGGTCAGGATTTGTATCTCCCACACAATAGGGTTGGGGGTTCGAATCCAGCCACTGGTTGCATGTCGTGACCTTGAAGTCACTTTACCCGGACTTGCCTCACTCCACCCGTAAGGACAGAAATGCTTTTGCTTGATTAGCCGTTTGCATCCAAAATGGTAGCATCAAGCTGTGTGTTTCCTAGAGAGCTGAGATGGTTTATTGATGGTTATGGGCACAGTGATCAAGTTTAATGCTGACGTAGCGCCTTGAGCACCAGAAATTCTGGATATGTGCATTTTATAAATATTCAGTATTATTAAGTGTACCTGCTCCCTTCCAAAAGACAAAGGTTTGCTCACAAATTGTAGCCAATCAGTGATCAGAGAACTTCCAAGGAAGCTTAGCCTCAGCCTGGTTGAATCTGTACTTAACCTCAGATAATTTCAGATTGTTTGAGGTTGCAATAGAATTAAAATATACAAGTTTATATTTATGTTCTCTAGACAAGTTTGAACTGATATGCCACCAGTCCCACAATGAAGTCATTCTCAAATTTTGGTGCTTCGAGGAACATAGAATTAAACATTATTTGCATTGATCATTACCGTTAAGATTTCAACTTTACTACAGATTTCAAAGTTGAAGGGTCAATTTAGACTTTTCACATTTTTACACCAGGAAGTTCGTGTTTCACAATACTTGTATGGAATGCGTGACGAATTAGGATGAAAATGGCACAAACGAGGTGTTTCCAGGATGAATTTATTGAGACATTACAAGCCCTACACAAATTCAATGCAGATTTCGATTTCATTGACTTCAAAATACAATTCAAATTCTGTCATTGACACACAAGACATGCCACAAAACCGATGATGCTGTGCAAATCTTCTCTGGAATGTTAAAATTAGTCCGGACTTGTCTTTCTTTTTTTCCACAAAGGTCCTTTTGATACCAACTTACGGGTGTCTCCAGACATTTTTTTTGCAAATATTAAATTGATTCTACGTAAGTATATACAGAAGAAAGAGCCAAATCGTATAAAATTTGATTGAAATACTGACGTTTAATGTCTTAGTTTAATAAATCTGGTTGTTGCATTGACTTATTCTTTTGAAGAAATAAACATTAGTGAAGTAACTGCCAACTTCTGTGATAGAACTTAGAAAAGGGGGCCCAATATTTTAATGACTGTCTTGAGACACAGAAATCAGACTCTGATAAGTAGGACTTATCTGGATCGACTGACTGAATTAGGTCTGCTCGTCAGGCTTTGAAAACAGCAGCCACATCTGCCACAGCATTCATTTTCCCAATTGGGCTTGCCAGTTGCACTTAATTTTTTGGCCATCCGATTGCACATCTCCACAAAATTTTGGACATCGAAGACTCGGCATCATTTTCTGGGAATCTGCAGTATGACCCAGAAACTCTATCTGGGTGGCGATCCCTAACAGTCCTAAATTCTCCGATTTTAATATGATTTTACATAAACCCTATTGGGTTAGGGAGTGAATCAAGGAGGTAAGTCATTTGCCTGTTGCAATCTGCCCAAGATTGTGAAATCAACAGAAGATCGTCGAAGCATATCACCACTTTCGATGAGATCGTCGGACATCTACTTCTGGTTTCATCAACTTTGTTTTCAGCCGAGGTACTGATTGCAGACCTAAAGGAACCACCTGGAACGCCCAAGAGTTGTCCCAACTGAAGCTGGAGTCAAGTTGGTGTAGTGGCTCTTTCCTCGGCTTCCACCTCTGCGATCCAGGTTCGAATCCCACTTAGGTCAGCATGTGGATGGGAATTTCAGTCCCTGCCTGATTTCATGGTCAGGTGGTTGGATTGACTCCATTTTGATGTAATGTAACGCCAACTGCCTCCATGGATCTTGCTCACGCTGACAAAAGACGCTGAAAAGTCTTCTACTTGGGTTTTTGTGGCTTTTGGTCGTATATTATCACTCTTTTCTGGCATTAGGTTCCAAAACGCACCCAAAAACAACGTGACTAAGAAAACACTTAACTGCGCCGGCGCCGCGACAACGGGGAGTCTCCCGGGCCAGGCTGACCAGCTGTATGGGCCCACCACACAGCTCTACTGTGGATCCGTGCTAGTCCCACTGCCCATCCAGCACCGACGCTACACCGCCCCTTCAAGGACTCTTGTTCATTCCCGAACAAAGCCGCGGGCACTAGCGACCAGGTGCCTGCTGAGGTTCGAGCCGCTGGCACCTGCGACTTTTACACAAAAAAGGAAAATAGATGAAAAAAGCTTAACAAACATTAATTTAGAAAACAGGAACGCTAAAGTAAAATGGGTACCGCTGGGTGGTATCTGCCAGTGGACTTCGGTTCGCCGAATGGGTTCCTCCCAGAAACGGTGGGGGCATTCTCTAGAAAACGAGGGGTTGCAGGGATCAAGCAGCCCTCCGAGGTAGACGCTGTTGCTGGAGGGATTTCCACATCAAGCTCCTCGTCATCCGGTGTGCCTATCGGCTGAAGCAGGCTCCAGGCGACTCCCCCTGTAGATTGTCGTGTTATGGGTTAGTAACGAATTGTCTAAACGGCCAATCCAACTTGGTTCCTTTTTTGTTAACCAAGCCAGCACGGCCACAGCGCGACAACTACCCGCAGCCGTCGGGTGGGTAGATGCCGTGCTAATTCCCGTCCGTGGTACATGGTTCGGTCACCCCTGTCGCCTCAGCATCATTGCCTTGTGTGAGGAGCCGAGTGGCTCCATTGACTCCCGTGAGCTGAGGAGCACCCCTGCTGGCTCAGCATCACGGACTTGCGTGAGGAGCCAAGTTGCTCCTTTTACTCCCGTGCGGAGCCCTCCGTCAGCCCTGCACCATCGACTTCTGTGAGGAGCAGCTGGGCTCCATTAACTCCCATGCGGAGCCCATCTGCAGGCTCCGCGTCATTCGCGCCAGTGCGGAGCGGCCCCGTTGGCTCCACCCCATTCATCACCGCACGGAGCCCCTCCACTGGCTCCGCGCCATTCACTTGCATGAGGAGCAACTCCACGGGCGCCACCTCCATGACTCTTGTCGGGTGAACTAGCTCCGAATGGAGGCTAGGCTTCGACACACTGAGTTGGAGGACTACAAGTGCGACCGGGAGAGGCCCCCAATTCCATCTGCTGTACGGCATATGTGTTGTTGGGTGTCTTTGGGTCCCGACCCCTGCAACAGGGGCTGCCACAGCCTGTGGGCACCAAATGTGGGAGACTGCGTCCGTATTTGCACCGTGGGGTTGTTTCTTGTCAGTCCTAGCACTTGTAGTTGGCGGAGTGAAAAATTTGGGGAGTCCACGTGATGAGGCCTCACCCCCGTTGCAACGGCACGTACAGCTTGACCATACGTTCCGAATGGAACAGTGTGTTTGCTTTGCTGAACCCCCCCTCCCTCAGCATGGGGGGGGTCCCTATGGACGCTGGCACTTCTTGTAGTTCTGGAAAGGAGGAAAGTCCCAGGATGAAGCCCTGCCCCGCTGCAACAACACACACAGCTTGACTACGTGCCAAATGGAACGGAATGTCTGTTGTGATGCCGTCTTGAACATGGGGCGGTTTCCTGTGGGCCCGACACTAGGTGAACAAACAGAAACATCGTCAAGTGTCCCGAAACTAAGCCCCTCCCCTGCTGCATTGAATGTTCCGACTGGAACATAATTAAGTCTACTTCATCGATGTCTACAGCGCAGATCAGTTTGCTGGGGGGACACAGCACGTACTATTTCGGTGCAGACAATGCATGTCGCTCAACCGTCTGGCCTGGCCCTCTGTCGCTGCTTCCTTCCTGCCAACATCTTCCAGAGTTTGGTCATCCTCATTGAAAAGGACTCGGAGTCCAGTCCGTCAACAGTCCACAGCATTTTCTTATGCCCATTTGGCTGACCCACAATCTCCGAGGTCCTATTCCATCTCCGCCGAGTGGCGAATCGGATGCCAGACCAACGTGACTCGGGTTGTACATGCCTTAAAAATACACCAAGCATACTTCAACCGTCTTCTCCGTCCGATCAGCGTGCCGCTGCTGCCACCAGTGTAACGTCAACCGCCTCTATGGGTTTTGCTCCAAAAAGACAAAGTGAGGCCTTCATCTTGGGTTTTGTGGCTTTCGACCGTTTAATGTATATCGCTCCGTCACTCTTGTCTGGCAAAAACTCCAAAACACACCCCAAACCGATTGATGTGACTAAGAAAACTCTACTCAGTCTGCTGGCGCCGCGGCAACGGGTCTCCCGAGCTGATCAATAGGGGCTCACCGCACGGCTCTACCGTGGATCCGTGCCAGTGCCCCATCCCATTGGCCATATCCATATATGATTGCTCATTATCAGTGCAGGGCCAATTCATGTAATTTTCAAATTTATTACACTCAATCCTCAGTCATTTGCCTAACTACACTCACGAGGGAGTACGATAAATTTGCACAAGAGTCAAGGTTGCGCTTAACCGTTTTGTGGTATTCATGGTTCATTAATTTTGTCAGGTTTCCCAATCCATGCTGCGTTGAGCCTGCCGGGTGATTCCAGACCGTCAGTCCGAGTGCCACTCTCGCTGGTCTTTTTTCGAGTTACCACTGTACTAGTGTCCGGAGTGCCTCGGTTTCGTGTTTTTACAATTGTCAACTGTACTAGTGTCGGCGTTACGACGCACGCCTTGATCAAAGGCTCTTACCTGATCTGTGCTGCTTTTTTATTTACAGTCGCGCCAGAGCATACTCAGAACCAGACCAGACACTGTCTGGGCGCAAGCCGGATAGGTCATGAATAATACAGCAATGCGTGATATAAATAAAACAACATATGACGTTACATGAGCCGATACTGCATTCGTCGTCGCGTTCACGGCGTCTCTAGGGCATGTTTTTTCTCAGATGTACATGTACATGTACAGCTGTACATGTACAGTTGTACATGTACATATACATGTACCTGACTTGCGCCCCTTTGTACTCCACATGCGCTCACAATTTCCTACTAAATATTTTTTGTCAAATGTACCACACTTGTGCCCGTGTGTACTCCACATGCGTTCACATACTTAGGTTTTTGAAACTGTGGGCGCATTTGGAGTAGAGACCGTACGGACGCAAGTCAGGTACATTTGACTGAACAAAATAAAATTGTGGGCGCATACGGATAGTACTGACACACGGGCGCAAGTCAGGTACAGTAGTACATGTACATGTAGGCCTACAAGTATTGTCAGTTCACGTACATGTACAATAATTTTATTATTGGACAAAAAGTATGCACGACGAAAACAGTATTCACTCATATGCAACGTCATATGTTGTTTTATTCATGTTTACGAATTGTATTATTCATGACACTGCTTGTGTCTCCGTCACATCACACTAGACCAAAGATCGTATCCGCTCCGAGCGGAAGAAAAGAGGACGTGCTTTTGTTGTTGTCGTTGTTGTTGTTGGTTTTTTTAAACACTATGAGGCGCGCAAGTATATGCGCGTTTGACCCGGAGCACGCTGAGTACGCGTAACTAATTTGTTCCGGCATAAAGTATGGTCTCGTCGATGCAAACGCGCAGATGAACGCGTGCAAGAACCCGCTGGTAAACAGATATGGTCTTTCTTTCGCCGATTGAGGGTGCACTTCAGCTCGGGAAGGATGTGGTGGCCATCGACAGTGGGTGGATGACGGACAAGGTTGGGCCGGACCGGTCAGGCTGAAATTGGATGCTATTTTTACGGCTGGAAGTAATCGTTCACGTACGTAACCGGCAAGAAACTCTACGGAGGCCGATCACAGCATAGTAGCAAGAGCCCATAAACGTCCACACACAGAATACAGAAAAAAAAACAATGTTTACATAAATCCCTTGTTGGTTGGAATGTATCTTAGCTATGAAACAACGTGAACAATTGCGAATCGGTTTTTTTATATTTCACCAACAGGAAACACAGACCGGAACAAAACACTAAGCCTTCATGCAAAATGAAAGAGGGCGCTAGTACAGACAATAATTTAATGTCAATGATGGCCCCAACGCCCTCACGGACGTTTAACTGTCAATTTCTCTTCTATTAAGGAATTGTGTGGCACATGAACTCTGTGGTTTGCAAAGAAGAAGCATGGAATTTAAAAGCAAAGATTTAAAAGAGTGCTGGCATCTATATTTAGAAAGTATGAGACAAGAAAACGCGAAAATAAAAATCGCTATATTTTAGCAAATATGCATAGGTTTTAATTCTCCAAACGGCGACTAACGACTTCTTCAATGATAATTTTTGAAAAAGATCAAAAGATTCGGAACAAAGCCCTGAGCTGATGTACGCTCAGCCCAATTGATTTCAAGAGTCAACGCACCTGGTTAGGAACCACTGAAAGCGGGAAAATCGGATTCTTGGCTGGTGTCCGTTTTCAAACGATTTTGTACCATACTAGATTTCAAAAAAGTTTGCTTTTCTCTGAAGGAATGTGTAGGGGGACCCCTAAGCACACTTAGTTAGCACCCCGAATGATTCGGCCCACAGGTTGTCTCAGCCCAATTGATTTCAGGAGTCAAAGAACCCGGTTAGGAACCAAAACGGGAAAATCTAGGATGGTACAACTTTCGGCCCTGAAACCGATTTACCCCATTTTTGTTCCTAATCGGGTGCGTTGACTCCTGAAATCAATATTATAGAGCGGTTTTTATTTTTGCGTTTTCGTGTTTCACATTTTCTAAATAGATTCCGGCACCCTTTTATATCTCTGCTATTAAATTCTATGCTTCTTTACAAACCACCGAGTTCCTGTGCCACCAACTTCCTTAATTAATGGAAGAGAAATTGAGATTACCGCCAATGGGTCATTAGGGAGACATTCCCATAAGAACGTGCAAATTTTTCCAACTTTACTGGCCCATAATTCAATTTATATTCCCTGATCTGATCTGAACCAAACTTTGTATGTTTTCATTTTAGGCCCTAAACTTCCATCTCTCAAAATATGGACGATAAAATTCGGCCTCCTTCTGGTAGTTTGAAAACAGGGAGACACTGAAATGTCTCCCTAAAAGCGAATGTCTCCCTAATGCTGAAATCTTACCACAAAATGTCTCCCAAATGACCTATTTGTAAATATTGACAGTATACAAATTGCGATTCGGTTCGCAAAGGCCTCAGGCTTATTTTGGGGCCATCATTGTCTGTACTAGCGCCCTCATCCATTTTGCACGAAGGCTTAGGTCCAGTTCGGGCGGCCTGTTCTTGACACGGTTTTTTTTTTCTCGCGCCTGAACGGTAGGAACACGACTCAAGAACACTGTTCTCGGAACAGGATGACACACCACCTCCTGGTCAGGGTTTTACAGGAACACACGGAAAAACTCGTGAGATTTTGATTTTTGAACAGTTGCAAACATGGCAAAAAGTAGAGTAATGGCTTACAAAGCCATTGACAATAGGAAATTTTGCAAAAGTAACGTTAAATATTCTCCATAACACAGAAATGAATGTTCCTGTTTAAACAGAAAAGAATTAAGCCCAGTTATCCAAACTTTAATGGACGCCGTCATGTTGCATGTTGCTTGTGTGTGATAACCAGTTGTTTGTTCCCGGCGTTCGAGTGACCGACCCACGAACAACTCAGATCAAGCTGTTCGTGAACATATGGGAACAAGCCGCTCGAACTCAGCCTTTGTGTTTTTTCGTACACATTGTTTCCGTTGATGAAAAAAAAGTTCCCAGTTGTTCACGTTGTTTCACAGGTAAGATACGTTTTAGCGAAGGATTTATTTAAACATTGTTTTTTTTTTAATTTGTTTGTGGACGATTGTGGGCTCTTTCTGCTATGCCGTGATCGGCCTCCGTAGAATTTCTAGCTGGTTGCATAGTACATATGCACACGACGATTGCTTGCGGCCGTAAAAATCCGGCCTGAATTTCGTGCCAATTTTAGCCTGGTCCGGTTGGTGGGCCGGCCGGGCGGATGACGTCACGATATGATCTCAAAGCATGCAAACCAGTACGCGTAGACTCGGGCGATGATATGATGCGCTGTGCCTCCGTTCTAGGTCTAGTTCTAGCAGTAGCAGAGTCATTTTCGCCTTAAATATCTTTTCCTTCCTCCATGATCCAACAGAGGAGTCTGTCAGGCATGGAGTTCAAAATCACCGTCTTCCTGAGTTTGACGTTCTGTTTTGTGCCTACCTATGCGCTGAATGACAGTCCAGTGATTGGTGAGGATCGTTGAAACTACACTGTTAAAGACATGACATAAAGGAATCGTTATACGCCCCTTATGTTTATACTTCAGTTAGACTTGGTGAAAATGTTACTAGGCTGACTACCCATGGAGGAAGGATCTACCAAACACCTAACCGGACAAATTAAGTGGAGTCTTCTCAGTCTCATAGTCTTGCTATGCCCCAACTATAGCATAAGTCCCAACTATAGTTGGGACAGTCCCAACTGTAGTGCTGCAATTGGGCTGGCCCAACTTGCAACTATTGTTGACCAATGTCTGTGGAAAATGTCTGAACATTATCCAAGTCAATGTGTCTCACACTTGTCACAATTCATCTAAATTGTGGCACTTCATCAATTCATCTGTCCCTATGACCAGTGATGTGACATTTGTAAACAAGATGACTTTGGCACATGCTGGTCACATCATGCATACTACTGGACCCCTCTGCTGTAGTCTCACTGATGTGGTGCACTTCGTTTTCAACGTTGTCCTGAACTTTCCATGTCCTCATGCAGTGGCACCAAACAATGCCAAGCACACACCTGTGTTGAAAACTTCAATTCAGCTAATTACAGACACTATTGCCTTCATTATATGCTCGTTCAACGTTCAGTGTCATAAATTTAATAGGCCCAAAGTTTCTCCGAAATTCATAAACGGTGGGGCCCAGAATTAAATTGGGCACAAATTTAGCTGAGTGTTCCTTTTTGCCATTATTTACATGATGCACTTGAAAAAAAAAACCACAGAAAATCCAACATTAACATTAAAGGAGCTCTTAAATTCCAGTAAATCATTACCCCCACTCACATACCTAAATACAAGTTTGTATAAATTAACGCATAGGCCTCAGTGGAATTTCAACTTTAAACAATCATCCATATTGTTTCCATCAATTGACATCGTGTTTAAGTTTAACTTTTACTTATAAGGCCATCAGAACAGAAGTTGTTAGATTTGCTTCCTAACAGTGTCCAAAACACATGAGGCATTTGTTCGTTTCCATTATTCATTCTTTTATTTCAACCTCCAAGTACAGATACTTTTCAAGTTTAATGCTGCCAAACTACAACCAAAAGCCTTCCTGAGGAGTGAGCTACATGTACATGTAGGCCCTTCATCAGTTTATGGATCAGGTCAATTAGGGATAATCAAAACAAAAAAGATCTGCAATCTGCAATAAAATGTACACGATAAACGTGCAAGCCGATCCGAAGCTGACATCTGGACATATGAAAGCCTTCTGAACTGAGCTGAGTTTGGATAAAATGCTTGAATATGGTGTTTTATGAAGCTGCTAGAAGATTTGGAATGTTCTCTGCTTTTTGTGATTCTGTGTCTTTCTTACATATAATGAATTTTTGTAAATAAGGATTTTTTGGAGTGGTGGCATCGGGGCATGCGGGCAGTGGATTCAAATCTACAGCTATTCTCGTGGCCTAATCCCAATGTGTTGACACCATTGTGCTAGCACAGGTTTCACTGAGGTTTCATTTTTTATGCATGATATGTAATACATGTACATGTACATCACAACCATGAGCCCTGTCATGCTTGGATACGTAAACATGGACATCCACAACTATTACGAAGTGCAAGGAATGTGACCTAACTCTCAGTGTATGATGATTTTTTATGCTATCCTTCTGTTACTTATGACACGCTTTACTTTGGGTGGACGCGGTGTTTGTTGATATCTAATACCCACTATTGGTCACGTGACTTAGCTAGTACAATCGGCCTATTGGTCAGCATACCGAGGGTATGCTAAAGGCTGCAGCTTTTAACTAAAGCTTTCTCCCCACCCCCAACTCCCAGGTGTCCTTTCTCAGAGTTCGGGAAGATCGTTCAAGAAGTATGGGGATGCATACATTGCTGCCTCCTATGTCAAGTTCTTGGAGTCAGCGGGAGCCAGGGTGGTCCCCATTCTCATCAATCAAAACGATTCCTACTACGAAGAGATGTTTGCTTCTCTTAATGGGTAAGTTATATACTGTACACTGTACGGCTGGTATTTGTTATATACATGTAATTGGCATTCAGCCGGGATAGCCCGCTAAAGTCTGTGACTTTCTTCTAGTGGGGTACCTTGATAGAAGAGGCAACTGTAGACCCAATTACCCAATTCGTGTACCTACTGGCAGGCAAGATTCGAACCTAGGTCACAAAGGTGACTGGTGAGGAAAGTAATACGGCACTGACCCAACTTTCCCAAATCAGTAATCAACAAATGGGGTAAATGGATAGTGTTGCTTGTGTACAAGTTATGTCAAAGAAGATTAACACATTTGAAGCACTGAGTTGGTGGTCCTGCATGCCGATCAGAATCAAAGTTTTGTGCTTAATTCTGAGAGACCGTTCCTTTGAGCATCTGCTCATGGGTACTGAGAATAATGTATATAATGGATACAAGACAGTTTAATCCATCCCTATTGGTTAAGAGTCAAAGGGTCAGATCAGTGTGTGCCATTTGTATGCAGAAGTCGCCACACACATGCCAAGCCCATATAAGGAGATTATTCTGGACTACTTGCACAAGGAATATACCATAAAATGGACAAGGGTGTTCGGGAAAATGAAAGTAAAATTCTTGAACAGAACCCTTTGAAATTTAACTTATGTTGACTTCTTTTGACTTTGTGACTGAAACTTTATTCATGAATGGGAAAAAATATGTGCTTGGTTGGTCTTAAACTAACATTTAAGACCAGCTCAGGAGAACAAATTAGCCCGAGCCACAGTTGCATCCATTCTCCTGAGCTGGTCTTAGATGCACATTTAAGACTGGCCAAGTGCATATTTATTCCCGTATTTATAGTCATCATGAATGAAGCAGTAGTCCACCAGTGGTTGCCATTATAGACTTGCTCCAAGCTGGTAGAGGATGGTGTCTTAAGGCCTTTCACAATTGTATACGTGTATATTGTAATGATTCCGGCTTGCCTGCAATTTTATGGGCCTTCGCTTAAGCTTAGTACTGAGTTAGCAAGTTTAATGTCAAGAGAATTTTTATTCAAAGGGAGAGACAGAGAAAATAAACCATTGTCTGGAGGCGAAAGGGATTACTCTTAATCATGAAACAACACTCTCTGTGTGATTTATTAGAGTCCTTTCAAAATCATCAACATTGGGTAAACAGCACCCTCTATAACTTGGGTTAAACTTGCATTAGTCTTGTGTTTGTAACTAAGAGTTGACAATGGTAGCATGCGTAGCACCGGTTGTCTAAGATGTAATAACTGAAGTTTTGATGGCTAATTATCGTCTACTTTCGTGGATTACTCTCATAGTGCTCTGCCCTGGAGTTATACTTGGATTTCATGACTGGTCTTGAAAGGTCTTGTGCGAGGGCAGCTCCCAAAAGAGAACCAGCCCCAGAATGATGCTTAGATCTATAGTTAGGAAGCACTTAAACCATATTGGCAATGTCATTTCAGACTTTTTCCGCACTCATCATTGTTTTAATTGAGTTTCCATAAACACCTGCTCCTTGCTTGTGACTGCAACAGCAACAACTGCAGACAAGAGTTTTTCAATGACACCTTGATTTTCTTGATTAATCTACAGAGTTCTGTTTCCTGGCGGAGGGCTAAATGACCCAATCCACTCAGGATATGGCAAAGCTGGCAAGGCATTCTACGAGCTAGCCGTACAGGTAGACACAATGAATGACTGGTTGATGGGGGTTTGTTCCCTGTGCTCTGGCCATTGGGTACTCTTGAAGAAATTTTGGCCTTCTCAGCCTCCTCTGTTAGACTTGAGGCTGTTGGAATCTTTGGGGCTTTAATTAAAGGAATCCAGCTATTTAGATTTGGCTAAGTGAATTTAGTGGCTCTAGCCATTTCGCTGAAGCCAATCATTCAAAACTGGTTTGAGGGTTATTGATACAGATGCACACCCAATTTTTCAAACAGACTTTCCATTCCATCAAAGTTGTTTTAGAAGCCGGGGAAAAAAAAACTCAGCTGAAATCCAAGAGTTCAAGCGACAGTTTTACAAATTTCACATGGAAGTCACAACAAAAGATAGTATATTTCTACTAGCTAAGATATTTGATTCAATAACCATGGTCCAGGGTTGTGTGAAATATGAGTTTGAATTCCTGAGTGACTGAAAACAAGGCTTTATCTTCATTTTCCAAATCTAGAGGCTTCGTAGGGTAGTCATCTTGCAGTGGACTTCTGATGTTCCTCGGGGAAACCTCCTTTGTGCCTACCCTGTTTTTCATCATAGAGTGTGTTGCGCATGTGTCAAGGGAACAAACAAGCACATAAGCGATGAAACATCGACAAGTTTTACTTACTTCAAGAATTTGTATTTATGTATGGTATTTATTTCTTGGTTCTCACTGAAGCTCTTTTCCTTTCACCCATTTAGAGTTACAAAAAGCACGGGGATTATTTTCCAATCTGGGCAACATGCCTGGGTATGGAACTCTTAACCCAGCTGACGGCAAACAAAAATGTGTTGACATCAACAGATGCTATTGACACATCCTACCCCCTCCAGTTAACAAAAGGTAGACAGAGGTTTTTGTTTATCTGTCACAACTACATTGATAGTTTTCACACTTAGTATTGACAACGCTTGTTGTTTGAGAAAAAAAGTCTGTATCCACCATTTTGTTTAATTTTTTTTTTCATATTTCTATGAATTGTTTTTCTTTTAATCCAAGATTTCCATGACAGTCGGCTTTTTCGTGGAGTGGACCAGTCTGTGCAGAACATCCTGTCCAATGAAAAAGTGACATATAACAACCATCATTACGGACTCACGCCAACGGTATGTGATTGCAGAACTCTCTTGAGGTGCAAAGTTAACCTCAATTACATCAAAACCTGGCGCTGTGTGTCATTTGACCTGTGCATGCAGTGTCTGATTTGGCAAGAAATGTTTGAATTTGTTTTTAAAATCTCGTCGAGAGGACTTCTCTGCAGATACACTGATTTGCTGTTGCTTGTAATACTTACAGAATTTCTCCATGACAACAGCTCTGAAAGAATTCTACCGAGTGTTGTCAACCAATGTCGACAGCAAAGGGAAAACTTTTATCTCCACTATAGAAGGTGAGCATGACCAAAGTTGTTATCTCTTTGATAGAAAGCTCGTTGGAGCTGTTTATTTGCATGTAGAAAGGTTATTGTGAAGGCTGTGAAAACTGAACCTTGCAATTCTTCCTAAGCAAGTGCACTTAGTAAGGACCACCAGGCTGGTGTTTCTCTATCTTCTCTTTTGGCTTGTAGCGATATATTATCCATTCTATGGCGTCCAGTTTCATCCGGAGAAGAACCTCTTTGAGTGGAAGTCCAAGAATATCAACCACTCATCAGATGCTGTGGTGGTCACTCAGTACTTTGCAGATTTCTTCGTGTCAGAAGGTGAGAGTGAACTTGATTGCCATTGTTCTGATGAAGATTGATGATAGTGGGTTATTAAACTGTTGGTGACGATTCAGCAAAACAAGTTTGCGCTCCCTAATATTTCAGATCATTTTCTAAGTGACTACTGATTGAAAGGGCATTACATATTTTCGTTGGGGTGTTGGGGTTTGGGGCTTCTTAATTTTGCTGCACTCCAAGTAAAACCATGCAAGAGCTTGACGTTTTCTCAGACAAATTTGATGAGAAGTTAGACTTGTTTGCATTGGGTATGTTACTGATACACCATATAGTGTCAACTTATTAACTATGTACAACCCACCTAGGCATTTAAGGTCTTCTGATTCCTTTTAGCCTTCTGTTCCTCATACTCACAATTCACGAGGTGATTGATCTTTCTCTCATGCAGGTCCCCGTCTTTGGAATGAACTACCGTTTTATATCCGTTCTATCCCCTCAATCTCAGAGTTCAAAGTTGCCTTGAAATCCCACTTCTTCGTTAACAGTTATTAGATCTCAATTACTTTTATTTTTTTTTATTGTACTGCGCCATGAACGTCTCTCAAGGTGGATACCAGCACATTATAAATATTCATTATTATTATTTTTGTTATTCTTACAAATGTGTCACTTGGGAGACATTTTTGTGGTAAATTTTTCAACCTTAGGGTGACATCGGTCATTAGGGAGACATAATGCTCCAACTACCAGAAGGAGATCAAATTTTACTGTCCAATTTTTAAAGATGATAGATTAGGGTCTAAATTGAAAACATACAAAGTTTGGTTCAGATCAGATGAGGGAATATTTAATTATGGGACAGTAAAGTTTGTGCACATTCTTATGGGAATGTCTCCCAAGTGACCCATTTTCGGTATTTATTATTGGTTATTCTTCAAAGCTTATATTCTTAAGTTGGTCTTCCGTACGTTTAAGAAAAGAGAAAATTTCAACTCTGGCAACTACAATCATAGTGGAATCTCTTTTTTTTGGGTTCCTGTGTGAAAATGGTTGCCTACATGTATTTGTGCACCTCTATTGAAAGCCCATGAAAACTAACCCAATAACAGCCCATTCCGTGGTTCGTGCCTGAAGCGCTGCTTTTTCCACCATGGAAACATTCCATGTTCCAGCATGGAGCAAACCAAGGACACTGTGTATTTTTTTGCCTGACCCGAGCTAATCTTTTACCATTCCATTGCAGCTCGCAAGAACTACCATTCATTCAGTGGTGAGACATTGGATAAATACCTCATCTACAACTACTCTCCCGTCTACACCAATGGCATCTCATCCTTTGAGCAATGCTACTTCTTCAAAGTGTAGTGTTTCAAGTGCCTGGAGCAGGGGTCCCAAATTTTTTTTTTTTGGGGGGGGAGAGCACTTGTCTTTTAGGGGCCCAAAAAATGTATAGCCTCTCCGAGGGATGGGACTTCATTTGGGTCATTTTACAAGCTTTAAAAAAAGAAGGGGAATTAAATAGACCCTGTAGAATTTGCCTGTCTGTCATTATTTTTGTTGAATTCTTTTTGGGTCTAGTATTTTTTGTTTGGGTTTTTTTGAGGGGGGATATGGCCCTCACCACCCGTAGACCCACCCTTGACCTGGAAAGACGTGGAAAAAGAAAGTGACTAGTGAAATTGTATTTGAACCTGCCTTTGCATGTTGAAGCAGCCAGTGCCATGAACAATTGTGCAGAGAAAAATTATAGATAGTCCGAGGGGGCATGTGCCCCAATTTAGACAAACTTCTGAAATGTAACTTAACTTCCTGAACATATTGAATCTTTGTCTGTTTTTTCCAAAACTCCCTTTCCCCTGTTCTTATTACTACTTTTGATCTGTGGTTTTTTTTTTAATTAGCTGGGTGCTGATGACACCACATACTGTTTACACGTACACTCTTTCAAATGTTAAGTTTTGTTAATTTTTAAATCATTAATTTTCACAACTAGATGTGGGAAAACAGGTCTTTAACCACAGTGATGATTACTTTTATCCAATGTCCATCTCGTCTGTCGTGTACATGTACACTGTTGGCATGAAAACATAATGGTAATAATAATTCTGGAGTTTCATAACATTGTCCCATCCTGGCTTCCATAAGAATGCGCACAAATTAATCAAAACGTGACATCATCAGTACAGAGGCTTATTATTAACCAGACATGCAGCTTTTCCTCAGATCAGCCGATTTCCTCGTTTTTCACTTTGCACCTATGCCATTGAAAATTGAAAAACACTGTACAAAATCTTGGAAAGATTGGAATTTCCTCGTTCTTTGCCAAAGTCCGAGTTACCTGCCTGATCAAAACATAGCAATATCATGTCATAGGTTTTGAATTATGAAGTGTATCGAGTTTGTAAATTGTTTATTATACCGTACAGCAAATATTACATGTCACATTTATTTCATCATTTTGGAAGCTTTTTACACCTATAATGTTTGCATTTTTGTCAGCGAGAGGATTGTGATGCAGCATCACCACTCATCTGCTAATCTCTGGCACTCATACTTTTTTACTCAGAGTGCATAAAGGAAATCCATCGTAAGAGTGGTTACATAATATGGATTGTCAACAGATACCTTTTTTCACACACTCATGTTGCATGGTAAGCCTTTCCTTTGATCATTTCTAGCGCCATTCATCCCTTGGGTGTAAGAAAGAGAATGTTTCTTACATCTGTCATCACAGTTTGTTAATTGTCTACCTATTCAGCATTATGCAGTATGTATTTTTATCGACAACTTTGTGCTGTAAACTTTTTTTTTTTAATGGTTCAAAGTGGGTAAGAAAACGTCCAAGTACAGAAATCTTTGGAGTGTGATCAGTCATACTTAATGCATGTGCTTCACATTGTATGAATTGTATATTTAAATGACAGTTATATAGCAACGGTGTAATAATTATGAACAAGATAATTTAGCTGAAGTGAGGTTTTTTATATCAATATATTTTCCTCTGCAAATGTGGGGCTGTAAAGTTGAGCCAACTGTGTGTGTCATTTTTGCAATAATGGTCAGTATTTTTTATATTCTAATCAGAACCACTGCTTTTAGAAATAAAAAAAGGAAATGAAGTTTTGACTAGGAATTCCCATGTGTGGTTTTATTTGTGCAGTGGAAGTGAGGTCCCGCAGAAGATATGTGCTTATCGTGGAGGAAGGTTTGTGTCACTCCCCAATAGTTTTATCATCCACGCCCCCCCCCCATCATATATAGTACCGGTATCGCTTTTTTATACCGGCCTAACACATATGGTATAGGAACATCCAGAATATTACTTTTTCATACGGCATGTTGGAACACGGGAGGGTCTTAAATTAAGCAGATGCAAGTTAAACAAAGACGAGCATCCTTGGCGGTGTTCTCTGTGGTGAGATTTTCCGAGCAAACAAAAAACCTCATTGATTCTTTAGACTTTGTAGAGCGCCACCTATTTTCTTGCGATCGATAGTTCTTGCGTAGACAATTCGCCTGTTGAATGTTGGTATGTACATGTACATGTACGCGTACAATGTATACGTGGTACGCAAAATGTACACGGTGTCTCTACGTTTACTGTTGCTGCCGCCTACATACAACGTGCACAAACAAAACGCGGTGTGAGCTCCAAGCAAATCGACACTGCATTTTTACGCCGAGCAAACCACGTAAAAATTTCACTCTCTGCTGTGCATTGTAATCAACATTCGTTCCTGTATTTCTGTTGAAGTTTGGACCTTTCCGTTACTTTTTCCAAACTGTTTTTATCTCCGGTTTGTATCAGTTCAAAGTCAAGATGCCGTAGTCGCGCTCACCAATTCACCACCGGGCAACAGACTGCGCGTCTCCCGGGTCGCTCGTCTGTCAGCCCGGGACGAACGGCATGGCCAATCACGGTGACCTTTGCGTCAGCGTGGTAGTTGTTCCGATTGGTGAAACAGTCATTCGAACATTTTAACACTAAGTGGAAAAAAATAATTTCGGCCTCTGGCTAACTTATTCTCGGCGTCTTCAAAATTGGAAAGTAGAGAATATGGACAGTACGCGAGATAAAAGGAACAGTGACTGGAAAAACAGTCAACTTACGGTGAGTACAGAGGTTTGATCTCTTGTAAAATTGTCCTTATTCACACTGTGCATACTTAGTCGTAGTCTGCTATTGCAAATAAGTTGAACAGATTGAAGAATGCCCCAACATATCAGAGAATAACATACGTTTAATAATCAAACTGTGGCATACCAGAAAGTGAGAAACGCTTTAATTTTTAACGGACTGAAATATATTATTTAATTTTTAGTGTAAAAAATACCAAACTATTGATGATAGGTTTTCAAATTGTCAATGAAAATGCATTTACAATGATGTACATTAATGCTTTGTCATTTTCAGCAATAAAAACTTACAAAAGTCACAAGTGTAAGCCATTAATTTGTTGAGTTGTTTTACAAAAATACTAATAATACATGTGCCATATATACTTGTGGTCAAATCTGAAGCCATTGAATATGGAAAGATGGCATTGACGTTACTAAACAGCAAGCTTTTTTAATTCACATGTACCGGCAGGTTGCGGTCAGGATTCGTCCAATGACAACAGCTGAGATTGAAGCAGGTAGCACAGTTATTGCCCAGGCCATCGATGACAATGTGAGTGTGTTTCCAATTAATTAAGATTTCAATATATAAACATTACTAAATTTTTCTTGTTGGTGGTTATCAATGTTTTGATGGAAAGTAAAAACACATCCCCAAAAAGTGAAATTTAGCAGGGAAAATATGACCGCATTTACTTAGAAAACACAAGTTTAGGATTTTTGGGTCAGTCTCATGGGGTTTGTGCATATGGTGTCTAATGATGTTCATGGAACTCTTTCCTTTGAAAAAAAAAATTGGAAATACATGTAAAACTTCAAAAAGCAGGTCAGTATTTTTGATCTTCAATTTGAAATAAGAGACAAGGAAATCTATTCAAAGGATTTTTAAAAATGAAACTCAGAAGGCCTAATCTGTTTTTCATTCGTTGATAAAAAAGACTAGCCTCTCAAGTTTAACATGGCTGAGATCAAAGTTAAATGAGGACAAACAACTGACAACCACAGCCATGACATTAATCCTGAGCCATGTAGCTCTTGTGGATGGATGTCATCCATGTACAGGTACATGTAGGTACGGTTAGGCTGAGGTCATATCATGCTGCTTTGGTTTGGACTAAAAGTAGGTGCCCTGTAAATAATAACATTTGGATTTCAAACCCAAAAGTATTCACGTTCTCATTTTTTATCTTCAAATTATAGCTTTTGTCCTTTTTTTCAAATGGAAAAAAATGTATCCATTTCTTCCGAAAATTACGGTATATTAAAATTGTATATTTATTGAGAGAAAAAAAAATCAACGGGCGGAACTTCGAAGCAAGCGGGAGTTGTTCATTCGAACCTCCCGAAACCCCCCCAGCCTACGGGCCTGGCCTAGAGGGATTCCTTTACTGTACATATTAACTCAACAGTACCCACAGTGAAGTTACACAGTAGCAGAATTCCAGTCCATCAAGCAATTTTGGCAGCTTTTGGAAATCCTATTATACCAAATACAATTTTTCTTTATTTATTAGGCCTACAGCAACGCGCATGCTGACAAGAAAGAAACAGGACCCTTTCTTTTGGCCTTATGAAAATTCTGTATACATTCTGATAACATGCAGTAAATTATAGGATTTACATGTACATGTACTCTGCATCTCCTTGTACACTTACTGAATGAAGTTTCATGTTTGTCTAACACAATTTATGCGTGAACCAGCATGTGATACACTCTTTTCATGAATACAAATATGCAGTTTTCTTTGCAAGTAGGGAGCCCTAGATAAGGTTGTTACCAAGCAATGTTGGAAGACTCAAAGTCTGTAACAAAATTTCTGTGGCTCGGGAAGAGATTAAAACTGATTATGGTGTGCTCTGAATTATCAGGTAAACAGTATATCATTCACTCTGTAGTGGGTAACCAGATAAGACAGTACAAGGAACCTCTCCAAAATTATTCTGTAAACCTTCTTTGAAGGTGCCAGTTGGCAATACCCCTGGTACCGGTTGGAGCAAATGTTTAAGCTAACTTATGCTCATTTACTTGCTTGTCATGCAGTGTGCAGTATTCATTTTTTTTCTCTCTCACCAATTACTCTGGATTATAGCCAAAGTTTGTAAACTTTCACTATTTTGCTACATTGGAGACTTACAGCCGATGCCCGTCTTGAGGCAAATTTTAGTTCTAAAGTTCCTGAGGTCACTCTTTCACCTTGAGCAATCAGCATCAAGGCAGTATCACACTTGGTACAAGAAAAAACGCAAATGTGAACGTGTGGCATTGGATGAAATACTCAAGCTACAAATTACCGGTGTGTGGAAATTTAACTCTTGTTTTTCAACTTTTGTCTTTGTTCGCTGACAGTGTTTTGTGACGTAAAATCCCAATTACCTTCATGTTCTTCACGGAGCTATTTCCATTACTGACGAAACCCGTTTATTCAACTCTGTTTATTCAACAAATGGACCCTTTCACTAACTACGCCCTGCAAAACACTTCATCATTTGCCTGCTAAGCTTAGTAGTTATCGTCCTGTCAGCTGCAGAGAATTGTTTCATTTCTTTATCACGCTTGATAAACCACACCTACTTATCCAGCGCTACAGTACAAGCAGGAAAGCTGTCGCCTCTATTTTTCACATGAGCCTGATTATTAATCCTTTTAAAATTTTCATTATTGTTTAGGAGTTGACATCATGAGTCAACATTGGTTGCTGCATGTACCGGTGTCTTCAGGATAATGTTGAAAGTTTACTGCCTCTGTGGATTTTGATATATTGAAAGGCAGGACCCAAATTTGAGACTTCAAGACAAAAGAATATTTTACACAAGTACACATGCTAACCTTTACAAAAAAATGTAAACATTACCGGCTTGGGACATCGAAAACTTTGAAAATTCCACACCTTAGGGCTATTCCCGCCATTTTTGACTGAGCATTTTTTGCAATAAAAGTGGACAGCAATTACAATAGTTGGCCTGTTTATAGCCACACTCACCAGATGGTGACAAATTAAATGAAACTGTAAAAGAGGATGAGCCATCAAAGAGGATAATGCATGAGTAATTATGCATAATCCGTAGACATACCGCCTCATTGAAGGAAAGCATCATATTTATAATGATTAAAATTCAAAAAGAAAAAAGTCCCCAAAAGTACACTTCCCAGGTTTAGTTGTGAATTTGTAGATACAGTAGTCTTTATCCTTAGCTCGTTGAGGTGGCCCATTTATCAACATAGTTGACCAAGTTACACATGCAGCCGTGGAAAATGTTGCCCTGGTGTAATTCATAGTGCTTGTACTTTGAGCGCTGAGTCAACACTGCACATGGCGCAGCATTGCTTTTGTCCGCCATCTGCTTCCAGCAATGTCTTTTGGTTGCCAAGGAGGCTGCCGTTTCCATGACGAAACCCATACCAGTAGCATCAGCCAGGCCCCAGTTATCGATTAATCCAGATATTGGTAGCCAGGCAGACTGGTAGATACAAACAAAAACTGATTGCAGAAAAACGCAATATCGAGGGGAATAATTGGCTCCGGGTTGAGTTGGGAGAGTACTAGGAGGGTAATGGGAACAAAAATTCCCACAAAAGTTGAAGTAAAGATTTCACATTTTCAACCACCGGTACTAAAAGTGCATGGAAGCACTTTAAGCATGAATTTTAAAGAGTGTCCTGATGTGTTTACAGTCATCATGACATGGTGATATTTACTCGTACTGGTACCCCCTGTATGGGATTGTAAACAGGACTCGTCCCTCCAAGACGAGCAAAGTCTGTCACGAGAATTGTCCTTGAGTAGAGAAACATACCGTACATACATACATGTAAGTCCTGGTAGTTGGCGATTTGTAGACTTTGTGTTTAAATATGCTTGTTGTACATGATACCACATTGTGCATTTTCCTGCACAGTGGAAGTTGACTCCCCGGCGTGTGTGAAATCACTCCAAAATTTTATGGTTTGAAGATTGTTGGAGTTAAATCAAAATATGCATGTACCGTAGAGTTACTGGTTTGGATACATACACATATGGACGAGTGTGTGCTGATTTGCTTCTTAACAGGAGGCTCTGAAAACCATTGTGTGAGCCAAAAGCAGGGTAGAAACTAATTCAAAGTCCTAAGGTGTGTTTTTGAAAGAAATGATGCATAATTGTCTTTAAGGTAAGAATTTGCAACAGTTGAACAAATTCTATCCTTGAAAGTGCATATTACTGCTCATTTTTGTGTGACGTTAAAGTTTTTACAGTTTTCATGTACATGTACCATAGAACAAGTACGAATAGAAATGGCTCTCAAACTTTCAAGCCATGATCAGATTTACATTGCAGTGCATGAAAATTAGTGGAGCATTCTCGTGACTCTGGATTGAATGTAAAGATGTTATGTGGGTAATTCCAGAAATTAGGGGCCCATTTTTTTTTTTTTCGTTTCCCCTTCACACCTGACATATAATTTTGTTAGTTCAGAACACACTTTCTAATTTTCAAGAGTGATGAATTAATGCAAATTGCCTGCGAAACAAATAGTAACAGTTTGAAATCAATTCCGGTGATACAAATTTCCATGTCAAATAACAAAGGTCAGATGTAACAGGGACACAAAAATGTCACACTTTTGGATCCCTAATTTCTGGAACTGTCCATGTACATGTGCATGCATGCCTGCCTAAACCTGCGGAGTTCTCTTCACCGTATTCCTACAACTGTCTGAATGTTTGGATTTAAAAGGTTTCAAGCTACCACCAATATTTTATTCATCGCTTTTGCCAAGAATGGCCGTGCCTGAGGACTGCTTTCAAAAGTCGTCACCTTGGCAACCGGTGTAAAGTTGTCATCCTGGCAAACTGGTGTAGCCTCCTTAAAATTGCATGTGGCAGCTTCTACTTGGTGGCGTCATGGGCAAGTGTGATGGATACTCTTGCACTATTGACTCATAGAAGCTTCATGAAAAAATCATTGGCAAAATGGCATGCTTTGCCAGTAACTTTCGATGTACGTGCAGTTTGGCGTATTTTCCCGTTGCCAGCAAGATGTACACAGGCAAATGCAAATAAGTGGTCCGCTGTGACCGTACCGTTAATTGAACAAGTACATGCGCATGCATATATACATGTACATGTACATACACATGTACATGTACATATGCAGCACATAAATGTGACCATACAAGTACACTGCACGAGTACATTGGTGACTTCCAGAAATTAGGGATCCAAAAGTGTGACATTTTTGTGTCCCTGTTACATGTGCATCTGACCTTTGTTATTTGACATAGAAATATCACCGGAATTGATTTCAAACTATCACTATTTGTTTGGCAGGTAATTTGCATTAATTCATCACTCTTGGAAATTAGAAAATGTGTTCTGAGCTTACAAAATCATGTGTCAGATGTGACAGGGACACCAAAAAAAATGGACTCCTAATTTCTGGAATTACCCACATATTCTGTACCACAGTAATTGGACTAACTCGAGCCTCCGGGTACAGCTACAGTGCCGGTACATTGTCCATTGTAATGTACATGTTCCTGCTGGATGTTGCAGGCTGTTGCACAATACATTTTCTTCCAGCATGTTCAGCGTGAAAAAAATGTCATCGTCAAAAACTGTCAGGAATTTCACGTTTTTCTACAAAATAATACGCGTACACTATGTACAAAACAGAGCCATAGTGTAACAGGAAGACTCACAGATTCTTCAAGGGATTTTCAGACCAACTCAAACCTTCGGAGAGAGTAAAAAAAATGCGTGAAAGAAATTTGTTTGACTTGTTTAAAATGAACCCCCCCCACTGTGGGGCAGTAATTCAGAATGGCCTTCTCCTGAGTCAATTGATGCCTGCTTTGTGTTTGTTTGGCCAGTCTGTTTGCTCAGTCAAAGCATTGCTGTGGGTTGTTTGGTGTGTACCCACCCATTATGTCTGATGTGTTTACCCTCACTCCTATGCTCATTGCAGGTATTGTTAAAATCAGAGCCTTGCAGGAGAAAAAACTTAAATGACACTGTGACACGGATACCCGATACTGTGAACAAAATAATGTGTGTATTTATCCTGATGGGTATTGGGTGGCTCTAAATGTGTTGGTGTCTGTGCATGTTAGAGCAAATTACTGTGACATTTAGGCCTACGGCTGAAAACTTCCCAAGTCCTAATTTATACTTTCCTTTCTCCGGGTGTATAGGCATTGCCAAGATTTTTTTGGGGGGGGGGAGGGGGAGGGGCAAGCCACATTTTGCAAGGGGAGGGGGAATTTGCAGTGGGGCAAAGCACGCTTCAGATTAAAAAAATGTTAATTGCGAGAGAGTCAATTGTAGTTTGGTTTCATCCCCTTCATCTCCCCTTTTTCTCCTGTTGTTTTTTTTTGGTCAACTTTTTTTTCCCTGGGGGAGGAAAAGTGCCTTCCTTACCGTCACACAAGTGGCAAGTCGTTGTAGGAGTAGCGAAGTAAACATTTGGTGCTTTCTAAATCCAACCATAAATGCAAATGACGTACATGTTGTAATTTCTTTCCAGGAGGGGATGTTGTGGTTTGTTTTTGTAGATCCTTTACTATAATAAAAACTAAATAAAGTACATGTATGTGTGCATTTCTGGTAAACTTAAAAGGCCAGGACAAATTTACCGGTACACGTATGTGTACATGTACAGTACAGTGTACTGTACATGTACACTGTACGCGTACGGTACATATGTACTAGTTCATGGAATCCTCAATTTTGAGGTGTAAAAAGTACCAAAGATAACACTTCAAATTTGTAATCATCTCCAGAGTTACACAGTTTATTAAACGAAATGAAAAATTGGTAACTATAAAACTATGAACTTTTTCATGAACTTTATGTAGCAAGTGCTATAAACAGTCTTGTTATATTTTGTGCAACTCCAGATTGTTGTGCTTCTTGATCCCATGGAAGATCCTGATGACATCCTGCGAGCCAATCGATCGCGGGAGAAGCACTACGCCTTTGACCGCTGCTTCGGCGAACTGGCCAGCCAGGTAATCACTGCTGAAGCATTGCATTTGGAAACTCTCTCAACCCTAATTAACTCCACGAGCATTTGGCAAGGAACCCCCTTTTTTGAGCTGAATTCACTACGTACTCCAACACTGTGAACCTCTGGCTTCACTGTTTGCGTACGTCATGGAACAATCAAAGAATTCATAACGGGCACGTTTACCTGTATCTACTGTACATGTACAAAGTATATAATCTGTGAAAATCATGCACTGTGAGGATTTTTGTGATTTTAAGCTTCAGTGGGGAGAGTTGTGAAATTGTTTAGTTGTAGAGTGCTGTATAGTATATTTTATGTCAAAATCTATGCTCAGTCTCAGTAATGCATTATAGGGAGGGAGATACATGAACTAACCCCCCCACCCGAAAATGAGTTAAAAAAATACCGGAAAGGTAATGATAACTCACAATACTAGTTCATGTATTGTAATGTAAATTTTGCACAGAATTTAAATAATGTTTGATTGTACATACGATAGGTCACTTCATGGTGTGGCAACTCTCCACAATACGTCACTTTGTGGTGAAACCGACGATATATATATATATATAGAAATACACCACAGGGGTCTAATGACATCCTCCCCTTCAGTTTTGTCTCATATAACAAGTCTTTTTTTAAGAAAAGTCATCATGGTCATGTATTTCCATGAATTTTTTTTCTGACTAACAATATCTCATAGACAGTGCACTGCAGTGGGATTTTTTTAACCAGATCTCAAAACAGTTCCTGGGAAAAATTACATCTCAGTAGCTGAAAAAGTCATTAGAGACAAGATACATGTAGGGAAAGAATTTTCCACTGACCTTCCAGCAGTTTTATATTATCCTCCAGCCATTGTTTGGTAAATCTTTATTTGCGCTTTTAACAAAAAAACCTAAAAGCTATTACTTTAGCAATTACTAATGCCTTGTCACATTGGAGCCAGTACTAGGGGACTTGTTGTAACAGACGGCACGGTGGTTTGATGCTTGTGCAATAAGAGCAGTGAGGGCTTAGGTTCATCAAAATCATTATTAACATCAACAAAACCTTGGCACTGACGGCTGTTGAGGACTGCATTGTTTTGGGGATCATAGTCAGGGATTAAAGCTGTGTCCGGTTTTCACCGTCTTGGACTGAGCCACTCCCTACAAAAACTGTAATAATGACAGTACTGACTGGTGGCGGCTTGTCTGCATTATTGAGCAGAGAAAGCCTGCTGTAAGAGAGCAATATAAAATCAATACCCTGACGTCTCAGGTAGGAGCGGTACACCAGCAATAAATGTTACAGATCAACCCCTCTGTCCCAAAGGATGTATGCGTTGTCATGCCAACGTGGTAAATATTTATCACTCTGGTGGTACAGAAGGGCAGTACCAATTAAAGCGCTGGGCAGGCATTGTTATTGAGACTACTCGTAATTGCATCATAAACTTTTTATATTGTCTTTTTTTTTCTGAATTTTTTTCCCGGCATGTTTCCCGTATGCCTTGCCTTAGGAAGTGCTGTGTTGGACTTTGGTCAGTCTATACAAGAAAGCAAGTGAAGGGAGGAAGATCAGAATATCCAATGTGGGGAAATTCTCCATCTTGAACTTCGGACTTCCTGGGGGAAGAGTGCTTGTAGTTGATAATACTAATTCCATATATGAGCTCGCACAGGCTGACAGGGTGGGCCTTTGTTCCAGCCTTGCACTCCAAGATTATTACAGAGACTGAGAACTTGGTGCGCTTGGTGTGACGAATGCTTCAAATCAAGATTTTTTGTTCACAGCTACCTAATATCACTTTCAGGAATCTTCAAGCTTGCAAAATCTAAGGCTGCTGGGCATGTATTGAATTGAAGTACATGTACATTTACAGGTGTGTACATGTACCTCATGTACATGTATGTAGTTGCTCAGAATGCAAAGTACATGTACATGTATGTTCATGTCTTGGTAAATGTACATGTAATGGCTACCAGACGCACTGAATATACACGTACTGTACCTGAACATGGCAATTTTTTTTTTACAGGTTCATACATTCATATTAATTTTTTGAAATCTTCAAAAACTGTGATGGCCAACCAAAACTGTTTAAAAGCCTGGTTAACTGATGAAAGGACTTTCTGATGTATACAAAGTATTTTGGTTGGAAAACCTGTTAAAATCAACCACCATCAAGCCTGGTGTCATACGTGTAGGAAAGTTGCATTCTTAAATGGCTGCACAGATCATGGCCAAGTGTGTAAAAAAAAAAAAATTGGGCATCAAAGAAGCAATAGTTTGTGGTGTAATTTACCTTGACCGTGGGTTGAAAATAGACAGAATGATAGGCAATTAAGCTCAGCCCTGTGCTCATTTTTCTTGTGATGAACCAATTTTGTTTATTCCCTATCTCCTGTTTTGAAATATTAAAGCAAGTGTGTTCCAAACCATTTGGCTCATTAGGCCAGTGTTAATCTCCAAATTCCTCGTTCTACATGTACACTGTACTTGCATTTGGCTGATCAGTAATTACCAGGCTGCAGAAGAATGCATCAGGCCTGATCGCTTTAAATGAACTAATAGAGTCCGTTGAGCACAGATGTTTGTAAATGGCTTTTTTTAAAGTGTGTACCAGGTAGAAGGACAAAAGGTGCGAAGAGAGGTCAGTGCTAGCAAGTTACCACATTTCCTTAGAACATGAGTAAAGCATGGAGAAACTCTTTGTTTGGTTGCCTGTTGGGGGTGTTGGGTTGTTTGTTTATTTGTTGGGTTGTTTGTTTGTTTGTTTGTTTGTTTTGTTTCGCTTGTTTCCTTTTATTCTTTTCTTCTTTTTTTTTTCCTTCATTTACTTCCATCACCCAAATCTTATACTCTGCACTTTGGCACATTAAAAATGGAAAAACCTCAAGAAAAGTTGTTCACATTTCTGAATTGATTTTTGATTCTTCTCACATCAAGTACATAATTGATACATGTACAATGTACATACATGTACATTGCACATGTGTACATGTACATGAAAAACAGCCCACTGATCTTCGTGTGTTTATACAGGGATTTGGCATTCTTGTTTTTTATGGTAGGGTGTCCCCTTTTTGCAATGAAACTAATCTCCTTCTTTCAAAATTACAGGGTTTTAAGAAAAACTGATTTCATTGCAGACAGCAAAATTTGGCTCAGTACATGTATTACAAAAATGCAGGATGATCCCCCCAAAAAGAAAGCAAAAACCTAGCCCAAAAGTAAATTTACTCCCAACATATTAAGTGTTCAAATTAAAGCTTAGGATCTGCTTCTTTGCAAAACTAAAATGTGCTGATCTTACATATACAGAGTATTTACTTTATGATGATTGTTCATTATTTCTGGTAATGACACCTACTGAGGATTCCTCTAAAGCATCTTAGGCACTGTAGCTTTCAAGCCTGAAGAAACCTGTAGAGAGGAGGCAGCGAGAAGCAATTACAGTTTTAGAGTTGGGAGGAAAACCCCAGGGGAACATTCTTAGTAAAACTCATGGAATCCACATATGGACCGAGTGGAGAAATCAAACCCAGACCGCAGACCTGACACACCAAGGTGACTCCCCTTCTGTAACATCAACTACTTTGAACCATTTTTAGGGTCCTGTTTGTGTTTGCTAGTGGAAAATGAAAGAGGTTTAAAAATAACAGAGCCCCGTTCAGTTCAGTATGCTCATTTGGCAGGTCTTTCCAGTGATCCCACGACTGTATGGAGCTTCAGCACAGCGGTAGCATTGCTGTAAATCCCAGTGGACAGAGCAAAAGTAGCACTTGTTTACATAAATTGAGATTATCTCATGCATCATCAAATTTTAATAAAGTCGTCAGTGTTGAAAAGATCCCAAGCTTCAGTTTGATGCTTAAAAACAACAATTTCTGACAATGGTTTTGAAATATACACCTGTACATGTTTCCTTTAAGTTGCTGGGGGGGTCACCCTGTATATGCTGCTCAGTGGGCTGTATTTGATTTATGTATTTTTCCTTTAAAAAACTAAATACAAATTGACAGTCCACTCAAAAGATTTTAATAATTGATCATTTGACTACACTCCATCTAAGCCGATGCAGTCAGTCAACAGACAATGTGGAACCTCTCCCAGTGTTTATGGTTGGCTCCCGATTGCCGCTGGGTTCTCTGGCTCCAAACTTGACCCGGATATTGATGATGGAGCCTCCTCAAATGAATTTTCAGTTTATCGTTGCTGCCTGCTCCGATTTATGGTTAAAAACACCAATTTTAATGGGTTAAAAAAACGTGCATATTTCTTGTCAGATGCATGTCTTGGAGCATTCCAAAGCAGCGAAGGTTGTGGCCCTTTAAGACAGTTTTCACAGATGAGGATTTTGATGGAGATGCTACGGTAGTGTGAATATATCATTATCCCTGTTTATTACACACACTGCACATCGTTGCTGCTAATTACCTCTTTTTGGTAGTTTGAAATTATAATTTACTCAACGATGGCTTTAAACCTGATATTCTCTTATCCCAAATTTCCATGAGCTTCAAAACCCAAACCATTTTGGGGGAAAACAATTTCGCTCCTATGATACGAAATTGTGACATCACCCCCAAAGTACTAAAATGCAATGCAACGCAGAAGCAGAAATACATGTACATATTATGTTGTTCAGGGCCACTTTTGTTGCTAGCTGGCGTTGTTTGGTTTTTGTTTTAACCAATTAGGCTTTTTCATGTAATGGGCTCTCAACCAGTAAGAATGGGTGAACTCCATCTGGTATTTATGAATTGTAAAGCCTGGATTCTAAAAGAGTGTTCAGCCACTTGCCAATTTTTTTTAGTGTCAGACGGTAAAATTAATTTATGGGATTTAATTCATGTGGCACTTCTGCAGAAAGTGGTTGATATGGGCTGACTTTGTCATGCTGGAAAACTTTAAGGGTGGTTGTTGTCGTATTTTGGGGAGGGAGATTTTCAACCTGTTTTGAAGGGGCAAGGATTTTTAAGTAAAAAAGTCATGAAATTCAAGACCTTAGCGTTTGAAAGTTTTATCATTTGTGGAGATTTCCAAAAAGCTTTGTTGTTCAGACATGTGGGTGAATTGTGCATAGTCACACTTCAAATCCACATCCAGTCCAGCCCAGACCACCCTTTTTTTGTCATGAAATCTCACCCACTGATGGCACTACACTTCGTTCATCATTCTTGTTTTTTCTTTTTGTCAATTATTCAAGATTTTTTTTTGTTTTGAGGACCAGTTGGTTTCAATGAATGAATTGTGATTCCACCTCCTTTCTGATGCTTTGCTTGTGGGTAAGAAATTATGATGTCATCAAGAGCACCGAATGGCACCGATGACTGTCGGTCCCATTCAGAACCTGACATCCGTTATTTACAACTCCAGTGGTAGCAGGCCATGATTGAAACACCTTAGCTCATGAGTTGGCAAATTTGTTCAGTGATCTAGCAAAAGGGAATTGCTACTCAGCATATCATGGGAAACAATGCAGTGTGCATGCATGATTAAGGTTTGATTTTAGCAAATCAGGTTACCTGTGCTCAAAATGTTACCCGACTTCTGCTGAGGACTCAGACACATACATGTTGGCCCCAGAAAATAGCAGCACCGTACCGGTATAGATGGTAGATGTGCGATATTGGTCATCCGTTTGTGTCGTGCATACAGATTCACAGTTTACCCTGTCATTGTTTTGTTCTATTGTCCATTTAATAACAACAGGTGACCCAATTACATGCTATTCAGGGACATCACCAGCACACAGCCATACAGAACACTACATTACTCAGCTGCAACAAAAATGGGTCGTATACTCGCATTGACTTTATTATTTTTTTTCTGTCATTGCTTGGCAAGCTGTGTTAGACCTGTTCCTATCAGAGTTATTGTCCAGGACATCAATTTGTTTCCAAGACTGGCGACAATGGCAGCAATCAATTATTAAGTTGTTCCGGAGAAAAAAAGGGCTGCCACAAAGTAGATACGGAACCTGTTCATGTATTTGCCATGGGGTTTTTTATAAATTTCTGCAGGCTGGTGCATACACAACTGGATCGAATTTCATCACCTTCTGTGGTGCATGTATTTCAGAAAAATATAAGCATTTAATCACTTCTTGAGTTAGGAAACTTGGCTGGTGCACATTAGCATGCCTCACCCATGCACACAACTATATGTACCATACAGTGTGCATGTACCTGTACATACATGTACATGTACATGTAAGTCCCTTAATGAAGGGCGTTTATGGTGCTGTTTCCAGATTTTGCTTTGGGGAAGGGAGAAAATGCGCATTTTGTAAAAAAAAAAAAGATCCAAATTGTTTTTTTCACTGTACATAAGAAGTACCCTCCATAGGAGGTGCCATCGTCATTTCTGAAGTGTAAGTGGCACTTCCAACACCTACGAAGGAGAGAACAAATTCCCTTGTCCCCACTCCATACGCCTTGTCTGGGAATTTATGTATATTTGAATTGGTTTTACTCTTCTGTGGTGTAATTTTTATAAGCTGTTCTGGTGTTGTACGCACGCTAAGTGCTTTCCAAAAGCTGCGTACAGTATTGAAAAAGATTTTGTGTCGAGAAAGTTTGGAATAGAATTCGTGTTTACTGCAGGCATAATCCAGACAGTACAACTGTACATCGAAAGTATGGTCCGGGGGGGGGCATGTTCCTCAGGAGTTTACTTATCCTTGGAAATATTTGCCTAACAGAGACCGGGCACCAGATAAAATCGTCAAGCAGTGTATTGGTACATGTATATTGCTTTGGGTTGGTTCTCGGTAGATTAGCTCACAACTTTGCTCTAGATACATGTGGAGCCAAGTAATACCAACCAACTTAGTCAGTCAGATGAGGAAATTTCATGTGTTTATCCTCCACTCAAATATCAGTGGGGTAACTGTGGGGCACTTGGATGCCCCCTACAGAAGTCCCTGGCATCCAGGTGCAGTCACCGGTAGTTTGCTTTCTGTACTGTCCCTTCCCGAAAAATGTGAGCACCTCCAGGGTGCCTTCTTCAAAGATGTCACTTTATACCGTATGTGGGTAATTCCAGAAATAAGGGATCCATTTTTTCATGTCCTGTTTCATCTGACATATGATTTTGTAAGTCCAGAACACATTTTCTAATTTCCACGAGTGACGAATTAATGCAAATTATCTGCCAAACAAATGATACTATTTGAAATCAATCCCAGTGACATTTCCATGTCAAATAACAAAGGTCAGATGTAACAGAGACACAAAAATGCCACACTTTTGGATTTTTATTTTCTGGAATTACACTGGAACATGTACATGTACTGTACATGTACATAGAGTTTAGGGTGATACTGGTAAACCACTGCTTCACACATCGTGTAAATATGCTCAGGACTGGTGATACCAATGAATTAAACCTCGCTCCTCAATTATGCTGCATAATCAAACATACTGGCAAACAGTGTGAAGTCAATGTCATTAGTTATTCCCGCTTTGCATGCATTATATATTCACATGCCAGACAGCATTATTAGGGAGGCTCAATGCTTCTTTGGCCCACATGTACCGGTATATCAAGTAATCACTATCAGATTTGGGGAGCTTGCCCTTTTGGCAGGAAAATAGGACAAGATCCAATAAGAACCCCATAGACCTGTTACGTTGGAAATGTTTGTTCAGTTAGGCTGTTGGTTTCACATTTGATTTTTTTTTTTTTTATTTGCATGCCCAGAAATTGTTCTTTGAGTGAGCTATGGCAGTGTGTTTTGTTCTGTCTTGTATTACAGGAGGAGATTTATCTACAGACGACCAAGTGCTTGATACAGAGTGTCATCCAAGGCTACAATGCCACCGTCTTTGCTTATGGTGCAACAGGTAAGCAGTTGATGTCTTCATTTTCTGACTTGTGGATAGAGGTCCACAGTCAGTGGTCCCAGCAGA